AAAAAAAAAAAAAATCTAGTGGTGTTCAGCAGAAGGCTGAGGAACCGCTACAGAAACCAAACCCTTTTTCAGGCTTTTATATTCTCTTGCATGCCTTAAATAGTAGGTAAACTAGATCCATCTCTCCCTCCCCTTTTCTCCTGTGCTCACAGAGAAACTAAGAGTAAAGCATATGATTTAAACATAATAGATAAGGCTACATTATCAATGGTGAAAATAGCCTGCGTTATGCCTCCAGAACTTCTTTTTCTTAAAGCTGGCTGCTGGGCAGTTGATGTCAGGATGTTTGAACTAAGCCAGGCTTACCTTTGTCAAGCATTTTTTTAGGTTCATAACTGGTGCTTGCCTTGTCTTATAGAAAGCACAGCTCTTATATGCGCCTGACTACTGAGCTGAGAATGCTCTTTGAGCTTTAGCACTTACTAGCAAAGAAATCAGTTTGTTCCCAAAATTTCTCATGTTAGCATTTGGAAAATAAGCACTGTTTTAAGTATAGAGTCTCCTTATCTGCAAGTTAAGAGATAGGGTTTTTTTTGTTTGTTTTTTTCACAGCACTAAAACTGATCTGTTCTTTTTTTCCACTTGAAATAACTTTGTTTCCAGAGGTTTTATGCCTTGCCCAGTATATAAGCCATCCCTGCCAAATCAACACAGAATAAGGAAAGATACTTGAACTGCATTGGGCAGCCATGGCTTTTGGCATTAAGTGGGACAAAAGGTAGCTGCATACTGTACACAAAAGTACTTGAATTTATACTCTTGCAAATGGGTGTTACAAACCCTGAGGTATCTTCAGGAACTGGGTGAAGTATTTTTTTTGTTAAATCTCATTTTGGCATGAGTTAATCATAGTGTTATTCAAACTAATAATTTTGCCTTCTGTTGTATGTGGGCCTAGAGGTGTTGGGTGGTTAAGTGTACATCTTATTTTGACAAAATTTATTTTTATATTGCATTTTATAAAATGGAGTGGTCAAAATGTGTAATTTTATGATGCATGACTGGGTGATTAAACACATTGTAACAGCTGCTAATTTGATATTTTAAATGTTTGCCTTGTGTTGTCTTGGGGTATTTTATTGTTAAAGTCAATAGCGACATATACTTAGTTCCACACTAAAGGCACAGTTGCAACGAAGTATAATTGCCACAGCGTTACATTAGAAAAAGGTGTTGCTTTCTTCTGCAGAACTAAATTTTACTTGAACAACTGTACCTGACCAACTTCAAGGAATAGGATTTGACATTCAGAGAATCACGTGGAAGATGCTGTTTGTTTCAAAAGAAATATATTATGACTTACTATTTGCTGTATGGAGAAAAGATCCAGTCACATCCAACTGGACACTACAGCAGCTAATTAGCATTTTAATCATTGTATGTAGTATTTTGCATTGGAGAATAACTGCTGCTTCTTAACGCTTCTCAACAGAGCTGGGACAGTTCCAGTAGTTAGTCCGCTTTATTCAAATGAGTTTACAGTGCAAATGCCTTAGTGCCAATAATAATCATTTCATGTACATTATTTTTATAAGCATATTAGACAAGTGAAATCAATTAGAAGCTCTATTTTTCCACCATAATCAAAGTTGTTTAAGCTAGTCATACACTTACCACTCAATATTTAGCAAATGTACTAAAAAAGAAGTTACCATAGAAGTTGCCTCTTAGAAGGGGCAAGTTTGTTCTTAAAAGGAATTAGAGTTAACTGGTTTTTCAACCTCAAAGTTCTGTTCTTTTGGTGAGGAATAAGGGGGGGTTTGCCACAACACAGGAAGGTAAGTATAACTTAAGAAAACTTTTGCTTTAAATAAACTTTTGCAGTGGAATGTAGAAATCAAGCAGCATGACTTACACTTCCAGGAACTCTGAAGCGTTAGCATACTAGTGCATTATGCTGAATATAATTGTTCTTTAAAATATATTACTTCTTATTTAGCTAAATGTTACTTCTATTCAATAGAAAGGTTGTGGCTATTGGACAGAACAGGTATTTTCTTTTGTGCTTTGACAGCACAGCTGTAATGAATTTTAAAAATGCAGCAATAAGATAGCCATGACTGAAGGTTAAAATAGGAAGATAATTGATAATAATTTTGATCCTGCATCAAGCATAATGCAATATGTAACTTTCTATCCACCTGCATGTTGCTATTAACATAAGAAACAGTGACATAGACAGTATAACTAAAGCAATACATGAACATTTTGGCTTTCAGCAAAAAGTTCCCCACTTTTGTAAGCTCAGAGAGGTGCAGCAATTTAACTGAAGTCCCTATTAGTAAGGACAAGAGGAGCCACTATGGTCCAAAGATAGAGAAGGAGACAAACCCAGCTGGAGGTTATCTTCACCCACACGGCTGGCCACTTACTTGTCATTGTTTTAAAATCCGCATCAGGGCTAAAAAGTAAAGAAGTCAATTAATAGATATAGAAGGCACCTTCCGCTATTCCTTGCTATTCCTATACGAATCTGAAGTTAGAACAGTGATTTGGGACACTCCAACACAAGAGCCCTTGTGGGAGGAGTATGGTGAGACAACTAAACCAGCAATTTCCTGGCTAGATATGATGTGCTACTCTTAAAGGAAATCTTTCAGTGAGCTGCCATGCAATAGATGGCTGCTGCTTTGTAAGCATATTTGGTAATTTATACAATATGGTAGTCCTGGGGGAAAGTAGTTATAAGCTGCAGCAGCAGAGGATATACCCAAGTGCTCCCAACAGATCTAGGAAATCAGATCTCTGTTTAAGTGACATGTATGGCTGTCCCTGCACATCTTTCCCAGGGTGAAGAGCCAGTAACAGTAGGCTGGCCTCTGACAAACTTCCCAGGAGGCCACCCTAAGCCAGCTTCCTATGTACTCTTCCCGCTGCTTGTATATCTGAAGGATGGTAACCACACTTTCTGCCCTTGCAGCTGTGAAGCAGTCCACTAGGACTACAGCTGCTGATCTTGTCTTTTTGTACAGGATTTTTACATCTTATTCAGCAACACAAAATTGAGAAGGCGCAACTCCAGTGCAACTGGCATAGGGACAGCACCTTAACCAGCTGGGCAGGAGTCTCCTATCCACCTGGAAACACTGTCTGGCACATACAACCCATCACTTTGTCTTGCTCTTACCTGTACCAGTTTGTGAGTGTCATCATGATGTAAAGAGAGGCAAGGAAGAGCATAAAGTGAAAGAAGGTGTAGCTGTACTGAACACCATCCTTCTCATTATCCATAACGCGGCGCACTTCTCCCTCCTCTTCAGGCCCACTGCCTGTTCCTACAGCCTCTTCCAGAATGGCACTGTCACTCCCAGATAGCGTCAGCTTGTTCACCTGGCTGTTACTTGAAGAACGAATGCTGCAGTGTAACCCGAAGATAGACATGGTTAAAAACTCCCTTTTCAGTTAGCTATGTTTGCTAATAACACAAGCAACAGACCACAATGAATGTCTGGGACTAGCAAATAACATTTTTAAATCCATCTGGAAACACAAGGAAGCTCCTCAGAGAGATCTGTTTTCATCTGAGCTTTAGTTAACCTAATTAAACAGTGTTCCTAGTCCAGGTCTCGTAACACATTTTGTTCTGTTGTCGGAATTGGGCTAAGAAAGCCTATCCTCATCCACAAAACGGAATGCAGTTTTATTAGCCATATTTGGGCTTGGGCCTGAGATCGCAGCTGGATATGAATAAATGCAGGTACATTTTTCACTGGACCCAGATTCAAACAAAAAAGAAGACAAATCCGAATTGTTTATCATTTCATAGCAGTGCAGATCCTACCTGGAATACAAGAGGCAAAGGACAAAGATAATCAATCCAACAACACTCTGGGCATCCCACCACTGTAGGGACTTGGGCGGAGCTGGAGTAGCAGGTACGACAGTGGTATTTGCCGGAACAACTGTGGGTGTAGCTATCTGGGTAATGATGTTCAGCAAACTTGGGTTACAGTTTCGTTCTGAAAGGGATTTCAAGGCAAATTAAAAAGAGAGATAAGCTTTGCCAGCATTTAGCTAAGAAAAGGTGACAGATAAGCTTGCAATTTTTCATTCCCTTTAACTGCTCATCTCTTCGATTCCCCAGAGGCAGCAATGACATGGAATACTTTTCCTTCCTGTGAGCTAGGAAAGGGTGTAATAAATAAATAAATAAAATCAGAATGCCCTGACACTGTTTTCTTTCCCCTCACAAATACCCCTGTTTAGTTGTGGAAAGAGGCAATTTGATGGTTTCAGTAAAGTCGGCTTTACTGCCTCACTAGATTTTATCTAGACAGATCAGCGATCCCCACACAGTGATCTGTAATAACTACAAGCCCCATCAACAGCTTCTGCTTTCACACCAAAATATGTTACTCAAGACAGCCTGTTGCTTACCAGGCTCATTGGACATGGCTGACCAAGTGAGATACATGGTGTAGAGCGTGATAACAGAGGACTGGAGGAGGCCAGAGCGAGGCTGATGTTCCTGTTCAAAGACAGAATAGTGAGCCAAGGTCAAAAGGGCAAGTTTTACCTACAGTTGGATAGTTTTACCCTACTTCAACAATTCAACAATTACTAGCATGAAAAACTTCATTTTTTAGAAATGTATTGGGCTTTGTCCTATGTTTAAAAGACCGGAAGAAATTCCTTAAAGTAATGCAATTTATGCAGTGAGCAACTCAAACTTGGAAGGAATAAGCAAACCACATCCAGTTTTTCTGTGCCCAAGGCTTGCTTATGGGTTCTTATTGTGTTAATCCCAACTTGCTTAACAGTTTTGTAGATATGAATCTAGCATGTGATTTATTTGAGCAATATCAGTTCAGAATCAAGTAACATGCAAACTTCCTCTCATATTAAACACGCTTACCCATAATTTCAAAGCCACAGTATTAAGCCAATAAATTCCCAGCTTATTTTGCTGTTCCCCAGTGGGTTTCTCTGTTCTGCCAGAACCTTCACCACTAAAACCACGCCAGTAGGGCCCCACATGGAAACAAAGTCCAAAACAATGTTAGCCAAAAAAAGCCTATCTTCAGGAAATATGTCACTACATAGTGCATTGGTTTCAGAGCAAGAATTTTTTTTTTAAGAGTTCCTAGCTAGCATAGCTATGACAGCCAAATTTTAAAGTTCTTATGTCTGACTGAATTGGTACTACATCTTTCTTACTTCCCCGCTTTGTATGTCCGAAGAAAACAGCAGAGAAAAATAATACCTGAACTTTTGGAAGGATAGAAACAATGGAGACAGCAATGCACAGGAGCGTATTAATGCTTATGAAGAACTTGTTCTCAGTGCAGTCATCAGGCTTTGTGTAGAAAACACAGAAAAGCACAACAAAAACCAGCGACAAGGCGTAGAACAAGCTTGTACAGGACAGCAGAGCTGGAGGGGAAAAAAATTAACTGTTACAATACACATGTAGTTTAACAGTACATCTAAGGTGATTTGATGACCAGCTACCACTGTAATGAGACAGTCCCTCTTCCTCACTTGGAAGTCTGGTTCAGAAAACTAGACTAGCAGAATGCATTTTTATTAGGTATGGCTAAATTTCTGCTTTGGCTCACTAAGTAGTGTAGCTCGGAGGAAAGCCAATGCTGCCTTTCAGCAGCAGTTTAATTGGCTTAACTGATGTCAAGCCACAGTGTCAAAATGAGAGTGCTTTTTGCACGCTTCTTATGGGCTATTTATAAGCCCTGAATTCTCCCTTCTATGCGAGAGGCCACCCATTTTCATTTCCATTCTGCTATGTTCTTTACAAGAAGCTACAAAATGCTGTTGCAGCATTCGTAGCTGAGCAAAGAACCACAACAATTAGCATTTTGTAATTTAGTGGTCAGCTCGGGAGCGTGTCCTGAGGCATGCTTTGTGTTGTACTGCAGCCACGGTCATCGACATAACCGACTTCCTGAGGACCTCCGCAGGGGGGTGTGGCAAGCAAAGTTAGAGTTGAAGAGATCCAGGCTACTAGCTCTGCCCTCACACTGCAAACTAGGCAAGTGTTGTTTATTATGACTGTCAGACCTGCTAATCACAAGCCGAAAATATTTTGCATTTTATTTAATGGGAAAAGGCAACATTGCAGCTATTAATTCCAAATGTTTACAGTAGTGAGTCAAGGAGATTGTGGAGTGTAATTCTAGGTATGTTTGCAAACTAGTAAGTGATATTCTGCAGAGTACTGGCCAGCAGAAAAAAAACCTTTACAGGTTAAGATTCCTACCTGCATACCAACATTTAGAATTTCCCTCCTCCATTCTCTCAACCCAGCTCTCATTCCAGGAGTGAGCAAAGTCCACAAGAAGCACCAACTGGATAAGAATGAAGCAGAAGGCTCCAAAAATACCAATAGCAAACCAAGCTAGAAAAGGGAGCAGGAAAAACAGGGTTAGCTTTCATCATTTGCGTGCTACCCCAGTTTAAAAAAAAAAAAAGAGCTCCTAATTATACTGCAGACAAATAATGAAAAAATCTTGAAACTGTATTTAGAAATGCAGATGCCGTTAATCACTTTGGCCTCCATCCTGCAGAAGCACACAAGAAGTCCCAGCTATCAGGGTGCAGCCTATGCTAGTCAAGCTGAGCATGGGAATGTTTAGCCCAACATGTTTTCAGAACGAATGCAAGATCTAACACAAGACATCTTTGCGTACATAAGTACCATCATGCCACATTTCTCTGACGATCAACAACACTTTTCAAGTTCCTGTGATGTGGCCAGACAGTAAAGATTTCTTGCACAGATTTTTCAGAGACTCTAGGGCAGTATTTAGCACTTGTCAGTGTTCTGAGCTGCCTCTAATCTAAAGAGTGTCAGAAGACTCAGACCAGTAGTGATCGTGTCATGGAGTATCGAATTATTAATACACAACACTTTTGCACTTGAAAAGAGATTGCTTATTGCCATAACCTCAGTTGTCACCAAAATACTGGATGAACCAAGATACTCTAATGAAGCAAGACAGAATCTGTGTCTTCTACAAGATAACCTTCACTATCACAACTATAGCCTGGTAAATCTGTGAAAAGGTGTGAGTTTATTAAACAGAATTCCATGATGACATATTAACTGTACCTCTTGTGAAAGGTCCTTCAGGAATGTAAAACGCTCCAACCATGATAGCCACAATGGCAGCTATTTTGAAGAACCAGAACCTTTAAAAGAAGATACAAGTTGAAAATACTGATCTTACTCTGCACACAATAGTCATGTTTCACATGACCTGCAAGCATCTTGCTGTATGTAGAGAAGTGTCTAAGAAATTTAAAGAAAAAAAGTTGTGTTCAGTGGGATTACAGATAAAGATGTTCACCAAATCAGGGGGAGAGGGTGAAGCAACAGTCAATACATTGGAGACATGGACTGACAGAAACCTCAGAATTCCACAAAGGCAAATACAGAGCATTGCACCTGGGACAGAAAAACCCCGTGCTACAGGACAGACTGAGGGCCGACTGGCTAGAAAGCTTTGCTGAAAGAGGAACTCCTGCTCCAGCAAACAGAACATGAGTCAGCAGCTCATCCTTGCAGGGAGGAAGGCTAACTCTGCACTGTTCAGCTTGGAGAAGGGAAAAGGGAGATCTAATTGGTGTTTTCAACTGCCTAAAAGAAAGGTGTGAAGAAGACAAAACCAGACTCTTCTTGCAGGTGCGCAGCGGAAGGACAAGAGGCAACACATGCAAGCTGCAAAAAGAGAAACTACAATTAGATACTGCAAAAAATTGCACAGGTTGCCCAGAGAGGTCAAAGCATCCCCATCCTTTGAGACATTCAAACCTCAACTAGACAAGACCCCAAATAACCTGCTCCATGTTGGTCCTGCTCTAACCAGGGGGTTGGATCACATGATCTCCAGAAGTCCCTTTCAAATTAAATGACTCTGATAATTCAGTCATCTAGCCCAGAACTAACCCAGTTAAATCTGGTAACAGTTAAATCAGTGAATGAGAAATCAGAAACCAGTTTCTGCTGGCTTACTGAGTCAGACTGGCCTAGTGAATGACCCAATGAGCGCTACAGTCAGCGCAAGGACGGCGATATAAACTAGCTGAAATCTAGCAACTCTCTGGAAACACAGAGGGGTGCTCAGCGCACCGCCCTTTTCGATACCCAACCTCAGAGCATTATCAGTACATCGAACATATTACATAAATAGGAAGCTTTTTAGAAGACTAAAGCGTTACTCTGTATTCAGTTCAAAAGAAACTCGAGGCTGTCAATGTATGCATAAACAATTTGCCAGTCTGTTCAGCAAAGAAACAAGCTGGAAGACCAGACAGCTGGCTCACACACGTACCCATTGTGTACCGAGGCTCTTGGATCATTACTTGTTTTCACTTCTATCATGAGCAGAGAGAGGAGAAAGAAGAACACTGCCATGGCAAAGCTGATTCGATAGACAGCTCTGTATCCAACAAACACATCGCAGCCGACAAAGCCATCCATATGTGGTATCCGAGTATGAAGCCCCTCATCACAAAATCCAGGTATCTGAGTAAAGACACACTTAGTTGTGAATTTACATCTGCATTTGCAATTGCATTCTTTAAGCACTCTAACAGCTAAGGCTTTCATTCAGCTGTCTTCTAGGAGACTGATAACAAAAGACCTTGTGCTCAGCTGGCCTGCACAGACCTTATTATCGTCTTTCTTTCCCCATATCATCACTAAAAGCATACAGGAGATTAAGATACCAAAGCAGCAGACCTCTGATAACGACTGGCAATCTCCAGGTCTAGTCAGGTTTCAGAGGTCAGGCATGTACTTAAAAATGTACATTCTGAATTTGCTATCTTAACTCGGGGAACAAGACACATGTGGGTGTTTGTGTCTCTCATGTAATCCACTGCAAGTAAAGAGAATCAGTAGTCACTGGCACAAGTAATGGTTTTGCAAACAGTTAGAAAGAGGTTTTCCCCTCCATACCTTTTTCAGCTGCTCTTCCATCCCTGGTGCCAGCATAATGCAGGCAAGAACAGTACTGAGAAGGAGGAGGAAGGCATAGATAAGACGCGTCACTGTTGAATTCTTGCTGTTGGGACAACATCGGCACAGCAAACACGAGGCACCGCTGCACAGACAGGGAATCTGAAGGACAGACCGCGGTGGTAAGGGCATTCCCCTCGCAGCTGACACCGAGAGAGGAAAACCCAAACCCCATCTAGAGACGCTCTGCTCCCTGCCGGACCACGCAGATAAACCGTTTAACCGACATTTCTGACTGTCGTCGGGTTTGGAAACACCCGCAGACAGTCTGGCTTATCGGCCTGGGCTCTGTTCCCGGGGCTCCGCCGCCCGGCAGCGGCCAGCAGCGCGCCGCGG